GGGCTTTTCATCCACGCCTTTGGTTGCCTCCTTCTCCCTCTCCAACACCTGCTCCTCCTCCATAGTGCTTGGCGAAGCCCTGACGGAGTACTGTAGCTCCACCATCACCACGCCGTCGTGTTGCTGCTGGAGCCATCTTCCTCAACCTCTCCTTCCCTCTTGCTGGATCAAGAAGAAGGAGACGTTACGCTGACCGTACGTGTGTTGAACGCGGAGGTGCCGTCCGTTCGGTGCTAGGATCTCCGGTGATTTGGATCACGTCGTGTTCGACTACCTCATCCCCGTTCTTTGAACGCTTCCGCTCGCGATCTACAAAGGTATGTAGATGCATCCGATCACTCGTTGCTAGATGAACTCATAGATGGATCTTGGTGAAACCGTAGGAAAATTTTTGTTTTCTGCAACGTTCCCCAACAGTAAAAGTAGAGTTTACAAATATTTAAAAATATTCCAGAAAACTCATAAATTTTAATGGATTTAAAACTATTTCTCATAATGTTAATGAATTTAAAAATTCTCGGATTCATAAATATTAATGAATTATAAATATTCTCAGGTTCATAAATTTAAAGAATTTAAAAATATTTCGGTAAATGTTAATGAATTTAAAAATTCTCGTATTCATATATGTTAATGAATTTAAAAATATTCTCTAATTCATAAATGTTAATGAATATAAAAATATTTCTGAAAATGTTAATGAATTAAAATATCACACCTTTTTAATTTTATTTTTGTTTTTTATTTGTTATATTTTTTATTTCAAAATTTTAATTTTTTCATCCACCGGGCTTTACTATATGCACTTATGTTAATAAAATCTGAACATTTCTAAAACACTTTATAAATATTTAGATACACTTTTGACTTTTTCTTTAGTTTTCTTTTATATTTTATGTGTTTTCACGATTTTTTTGTGCTCTCGTTCCTGCCGCGCCCGCTCGCATGCCTCGTCCGCCCAAGCTCGCCGCCGCCCGTCGCCCTCTACCGCGCCTGCAGCTGCGCCCCGCCGCCCGCGCCATGGCTGCCCGCAGCCGCGCCCCGAACCAGTGCACGCCGTCCCAGCGTGCCAGGGCCGCCCGCTGCGCGCGCGCCGTGG